GAATATATTTAAGCCTAATGATTTCTTATATTTACGCGAACACTACACATTTAAATAAAACTAATTTTACGGATTTTATCGCGTATATTAACTTATTTTACATTCCCGACGTTTCAAGCACTTTACAGCACCCATGGTCACGGGGGGGACTGAGGTGTATGACGTCCCAATGTCATAGTTAACCACGGCTACCTACAGATTAAGGCTGCGTCCCCAGTAGAAAAACTGTTAGCCGCCGACTGAGTTAGCGGCGTATCGGTTTAGTACGCCCTTCCATATATTTCAAATGGAGTGTTCACAGTTTGCTAGTTTTGCGCACACTGTACGCAGTTTGCAGCGTTACGCGCGCCGACTATCTTAGTGAGCGGCCGACTCCCACCAAAACCGGTTCCAGTCGGCGGCGACGATTGGTTGTTCGCCGGGCGTAGTGACTCAGTTTGCCGCAAACTGATTATTCGGATAGTTGGAAAAAAGCTATCATCGTGTTAGGACGTGTTTTTTTGCATCGCACCTAACTAATCTCAACGCACACACACATCACTGAAAATCCAAGATGTCCTTTGATACGGAAAGGTTCATTAGTGAAATACAGAATAGACCATGCATATGGAACATGTCGAGTGAAGAATACAGCAACAGAGTATTAAAGCAGAGCAATTGGAATGAAGTCGCTGATATTATATACGATGATTGGCAAAACTTAGAAGAAAACACTAAACAAAAAAGAAGTAAGTTCCATTCTAATGAATTTATTATTTATTCAACAATATACTTGTATCACTCACTACATAAAACAAAGTATCATAATTTACATAGTATTTACGGCTTTACACACTCCGTTACACTATTTCTTCCTGTAGCTACAACTTACAAATATTTCTCTTGCCAGGGTAGCTTTCCTTCGTTAAGAAAATAGTTTTTAAAGTTTTCTCCTGTTATTTTTCCAGAATTTGATACAGTAATAATTTGGCTCCTTGAACTTGTAAGAGTTATTGAGGTACGTCGCGAAATTTGTGCATATTGTGCTTGTTCTCTTGCTATGACAAAATTATGTAAAATAAGGGGTGTTTTTTTAAGCTAGATAGAACTTTAAATTGTAAAAAGTAACACAAAAAATTAAATTTTGATGAAATATTTTTTTTTATCGTTTCAGTATACTGTGACAAATCATCATGAATAGACTCACGCTTGAACAACGCTACGAAATTATCCAAATTTACTTTGAAAATCAGTCGTCGATTCGCGCAACTTATAGACGACTTCGTCATTTTTATGGCGTACATAATCGTCCATCTGAACAAGCCATTCGTCGAACTGTGGATAGATTTCGTACCACATACTCTCTAGAGGATGCAATAACACCAACACGTCGAAGGAATGTGCGTACTGAAGAGAATATCGCCGCTGTAAACGAAAGTGTGGAAGAAGATCCAAATTTATCGATTCGTCGTCGGTCGCAGGAATTGGGGCTCTGTCCGTCCACTACGTGGAAAATTTTGCGCAAAGATCTCGGCCTACACCCGTATAAGATCCAGCTGGTGCAGGAATTGAAGCCACGAGACCATTATATGCGTCGTTCTTTCGCCGATTGGGCTCTAGAGCAGTTGGCAACTGACCCGTTGTTTTATCGCAAAATTGTGTTCAGCGATGAGGCGCATTTTTGGCTTAACGGGTTTGTTAATAAGCAAAATTGCCGCATATGGAGCGAGACCAATCCACAAGAGACCCTACAGACTCCATTACATCCAGAAAAATGCACCGTTTGGTGCGGTTTTCACGCTGGTGGCATCATCGGACCTTATTTCTTCAAAAATGAGGCCGGAGCTCGCGTTACGGTCAATGGAGATCGTTACCGCACCATGATCAATGATTTTTTGTTTGAAAATATGGATGACATTGATCCGGAGATGTGGTTTCAACAGGATGGCGCTACGTGCCATACGGCGAACGCAACCATCGACTTATTGAAATCAAAATTTGGCGATAAGTTGATTTCGAGAAATGGACCTGTCAATTGGCCTCCAAGGTCGTGCGATTTGACACCTCTCGATTATTTCCTGTGGGGCTACGTAAAGTCACTGGTTTATGCTGATAAACCAGCAACAATTGACGCCTTGGAGGCCAGCATTGTTCGTGTTATTCTTGACATACGGCCAGCAGTGCTCGAAAAAGTGGCCCAAAATTGGACGTGCAGAATGCGCTTCGTCAAGAACAGCCGCGGTGCCCATATGCCCGAAATCATTTTCAAATGTTAATGTCACGTATTGATCTTTCGAATAAAAAAAAATTTTGATTACAATTTAATTTTTTGTGTTATTTTTTACAATTTCAAGTTCTATCGGGCTTAAAAAAACACCCGTTACAAACAGCTTTTACGATAGCGATGGTTGTGTTCACATTCGTAGCGATCGGTGTATGCAGAACTCTCCATTTGCTTGTTAGGATGCCGAATGCACATTCCACGCATCTCCTAGCTCGACTATGACGATAATTGTATTCAAATTCAAATTCAAATTCAAATTTCATTTATTTACAAGAATGTAGTTACAAAAAAGGTGTTGTTGCAATATTAAGGCGCTAATACATTCTACCCACTATTTGGGTGTGCAAATATTTAAATGGAAATAAGTTAATTAAATTACACTACACCAACACTACACGGATTCTTCGCGTCACTATTGTTAAACGTCACTAATTCCTTCACAGATTCCGCAATGTAATAAGTTCTTGAATATCATAAAATTGTTTCTCCATTAACCATTTCGTCAGTTTCTTCTTGAATATATTTACTGGGAGATTCTTAAAGTTATCCGGTATTTTATTATATATTGTAATAGTCATAAATATCACACTATTTTTTGCTTGATTTATTCTACATGTTGGAAAGTGCAGTTTATTTTGATACCTCGTTAACATATGCGAATTTACTTCTCCTTTCTTTTTAAAATATTCTGGGTGGTATTTAACAAATAAACATACTTCTCTTATATATATGCAGGTTAGTGTAAGGATACGTAATTTACCGAACATTGGTTTGCAACTGTCCCTTTGATGTAATCCGCACAAGGCCCGGATACATTTCTTTTGTGCTACAAATACTTTCCGCACCTCGCAAGACTGTCCCCAAAGAATTATTGCGTAAGAGAGTATCGACGATATATATGCATGGTAGGCATTTATTGCAGCATTCATAGATACAGTATCTCTTAGGCGACGTAATACGTAAACGAAACGATTTAACCTATTACAAGTATATTCAATATGACTGTCCCATTTTAGACCTTCGTCTACCAGAACACCTAAGAATTTATGGTGTTTTACCTGTTCGATTACTTGATCATTACATTTTATGTCTAGATTAATTTTGGTGCAATTCTTTGTATAATATTGAATTATTTTTGTTTTTACTAAGTTTATTTTCAGATTATTATTTTGTAACCATTTTACTATATTATGTAATGCTGTATTTATATCTCTCTCATATGTATTTTTGTCCGTGCATTTAATAATAATCGTCGTGTCGTCTGCAAATAAAACTGTTTTGTGTTTCACTGATCTCGGTAAATCGTTAATATATAAGAGGAATAAAAATGGACCGAGCACACTTCCTTGTGGTACACCTGATTTATTAACTTTTTTCTCTGACCTATATGAGTTTCGTGTTTGATTTATCATTTTATGAATCTCCACATACTGATATCTATCATTTAAGTAACTTGCAACCCATTCTTTAGCAATTCCTCTTATGCCATATTTCTCCAACTTAAACAAGAGTAATTGATGGTCCACAAAATCAAATGCTTTGCTCATATCTAAGAATATAGTGGCTGCTGGTTTTTTTTCAATAAAGGCTTGAATTATTTCTTTTACCATGTCGAAGCATGCTAAAGAAGTAGAACTATTTTTTCTAAATCCAAACTGTTCCCGACATAATATTTTGTTTTTATCAACATAATTTTGAAATCTTTCTAAAATTACCTTTTCAAATATCTTAGATAAAACTGGAATTAGTGCTATCGGTCTGTAGTTTTTAATATCATTTGGATCATCTTTTTTATATAACGGTTTTATAACTGATGTTTTTAGAACATGAGGAAAAGTTCCTTGCTCCATAGATAAATTGACAAGAAAGGATAACGGTTTGCAAATATGTACACTGGAAGCCTTTAGTATTTTTGTACTTATACCGTCTGTTCCTACGGATTTCGTGTTATTTAGGGATTTTATTACTTTTAAAATTTCGTCACTGCTTGTTGGTGTCAAGAATATTGTATTACATTTTTCCGTAGTCAATGTTGTTTTTATTTCAGTTGCTTCATAATTAAAATTTGTTTGATTTGTTTTGTTAATAAAAAAGTTATTAAATTGTTCACATATATCATTCATTGAGTTGTATACATTATTATTGACTACAATCTTTTCTATTTCTTTAATATTGTTTTCGTCATTAATATTATTAGATATCATATGCCATAAAGCCTTATTTTTATTTTTTGATAATTTAATAAATTTTTCACATTGAATTTGTTTTGACTTAAGAATGCACCTTTTTAGAATATTTTTGTATTTTATATAATAACCCCAACTATTTGTAAATGTTTTCCTGTAATATATACTTTTTAAATATAGCAGTCGCTTTCGTACACAACATTTCTTCAATCCTTTGGTTATCCAATTAATATTAGGTTTTCCTGTGTTTCTCTTTATCTTAACAAATGGGAAACAGAGATTGTAAAACAGTTGGAATAATTCATAAAAAGTATTAAAGCATTCATTTAAGTTATTAAATTCATGTATTTCAGAGAAACTCAATGATGCCATGCACTCACAAAATTTACGTATATTCTGCTTAATGTAATCTCTTTTTGTTTCAAACCAGGACACATTTACTTTGGGTTTAATCATATTTACTTTTAATATCTGTGCAGTTTCGTGATCTGATAAACCAAGATGAAGTACTTCTGCTGTTACGCCTCTTTTTATATTTGTCGCTATTTGATCTATGCATGATCTATGTAAATTCGCTCTTCCTTATTTAAACTTTTTTTAGGAAAAGGCCTCAAGATATGCTTTTGTAATCCAAATGCCTCATCTCCAAGAAACACGAAAGGTTGGGGCAATCCATTTGAATTAGGCAATTTAGTTGAGTTAGGAATCTTCAGAGACCCACACTCCAATTTTTTGCCAGAACCACTTTCTTTAAATATATTACTGTCAGCATTTCGTCCGCAAGCACCTACATCAATAGCTATAAAAGAACAGTTTGCATCTGCTACGGCTAACAGAACAATTGAGAAGAACTTCTTATAATTAAAATAGTTAGACCCACTTTTTGGTGGTTTTCTAATACGGATATGCTTGCCATCGATAGATCCTATACAGTTAGGATAGTTGGTTTTTTTATAATATGGTTTTGCTATTTCTAGCCACAATTCTTCAGAAGGTTCCGGCATTTCCTGTGGCTGTAAAATATCCCATATAATGCATGCAGTTTCACTTATTATTTTCGATACCGTTGATTTTCCAACAAGAAACTCTTGTGCAATTTTTCTGTAACTTAGTCCACTTGACAGGAATCTGGAAAGAATATTGAACTACCGATTATTTCTGTTTCAGTAAAAGACCTACAAAAAAAATGGAAGGGTTTGCGAGACTATCACACCAGAGAAAAAAATAAGGATTCCTCAGTCAAAAGCGGAAGTGGGGCAACAAAAAAACGCAAGACACCATACTTGGACATGTTACACTTTTTAAATGTTTCTAGAGCTAGCAATCAGACATCTGGCAATATTAGCGCCGAGACGTCTAGCGACAGTAGCGCTATTTTAGATGAAAATGATTCTACTGACTCGGTAGTTAATGTCAGTAGACCAAAAAAGATGACTGTGTTTCAAGAAGCACTAATTAACTCGATGGAAAAAAAAGAGAAAACGATCCAGATATGAACTTTCTACTAAATATTTTACCGGAAATGAAGACAATGTCCCCAACACAGAATTTTGAATTTCGGTTCGAAGTGATGAAATTAATAAAAATATAAAATATAGTGTACATAATAATTATGACGGTGGTATGATGCAAACTGGATGGACGAATGCCTACCAGTACCCACATCAGTATGGCTATGCGAGTGGAAGCAGCAGTACACCAAATGTGCAAAACTACCCTCGAAACAGTCCAGCACATAGCTCTACAGGTTCTTCAGCGGAAGTAGAAGACATAGAAGCAATATTGCGAGGCGATTCAAACCACATTGAAGATGAGGAATGACTGGTTACCAACTTAATGTTACCATGTTTGTTCCTAATTCAATTTAATAATACAGTAATTTTGAAGTGATTGTTAAATTAAAAACTATAAATACGAAAGTGACTTTGTATTAAAATAAAAATAACATATTTTTTTAAAATCCTAAAGCGTTAATTATTTACTTACCTCAAAGTTATAGTAAGCCGTTCTTCGGGACATAATGTATCTCTTGTGATATTATTTTTAGCTATGTACTGGGTTATAGATTTCAACAATTCATCAAATGTATGAGAAGTCATATTGAAATAGTCGTAAAATTTTTCTGGATGTTTCCTTAGTTCTGGGTAAAGAGTGTGAAATTGTCCAATGCTCAACCTTTTCTTGTATAATGGGTTAACCCAGTGCTTCCTTTTATCCTCGTTCAGCGCTTCTAAGATACCAATTACTTCAAAAATATCCATCGTGACCAACACAACCACTCCCTTCGTACAACAAAAGTAAAGTGATAATTCAGTCGGTCGGCTAAATAAGCGGCTAACTCTTAACAGTTTGCTTGCGACGCACGAAAATTGATTTGAGTCTGCAGCTAACTCAAATTTCAGTTCGCTGCAAATTTGCGGCTCACTCAGTCAGCCGCTAACTGTTTCCCTACTGGGGACGCAGCCTAAAAATTATTAATTTTTGTTTCGATCTACGCAGTATGAACTTATAGTATCATGAAGTCTTGCAGTTGTATGCTTCGGTTGGGATTTAATTTTATTAATTATGGGATCTCAAGCAGATGGTAGCACCCAGCCATCTTCTCTATTGAAATTAGGATGTGTTTTGATTTCAATAGCCTCGCGAATCATCCTTGGAAGGAATCGGTGTTCTTTAGCGAGGATTTGTGGTCTATCAAATCTAATGTAGTGACGGGGGCGATCCTGTACATGTTCACAGACTGCAGACTTCCTGGAGCGTCTATTCTTCACATCAGCTATGTGTTCTTTAACGCGGGTTTTTATGGATCTTTAAAAACCCGATCCATTTAACTTTAATTTAATAAATCAGTTGTTATTTTTAATGCTTCATTAAAAATTTGATCCGATTCGACTCGGTCTACACTATAAATACCTACGCAATAAAGTAAATTAAGCAACATACTCTGAACATAACTGAGTTATTAAGTTCTTTTCTCTTTTCGGGTACACAGGTAAGGATCCCTTGGGATTGAATTTTAAAATTCCATGTAGTCACAAGAGTCAAAATAGTAAGTTTCGATGTTCGTCTTTATCCACTTAAGTCATTCTATCGATCCGCAAAAAGTTTTATGCCAATACTTCCAAAGTCAAAGAGGATTTGTTTCTGGTTTCGCTTGTTTCTTTTACTGTTACCTTATGAGCCTGATTGAGGAAACTAGATTCCACTAAAAAGCACCAAAGTACGAATATTGAGTTGTACTTACAATCTGCTTGCAAAGAAAAAAAAAGCAGTTCCTGTATGTAAAAGACTTTTTATGGTTGCTTTTAATGTTTCTGAAAAGAAGCATAGAAGTTTGAATAAAATTATATAAAGCTCTGTGCCAGAGGTGAAGTGAGGTGGAGACCATCGCTTTTACAAATCAGTGGAGAAAAAGAAACAAATTGCGAGAATTTCTCAATAATTTACCTGCTAAAGAGTCCCCCTACAATAGCAGAAAATGCAAAAGAATTTATTTATCTTTGGAACTAAATGCAAGAAAACTATTAAAATTATATAATGATTCTATTGATAATGAATTCAAAGTGAAACCTGCATGTTTTAGAAAGTATTTCATGGTGAATACAATATTGGCTTTTCTACGCCTGCTCCTGATGTATGCAGTACATGCTCATCCTTGATGAACAAAATTAAAAATTAAAAAGAAAATTCTAAGAAAATAGAATTAATGACACAGAAGCGAATCCATAAGTTGCGTGCAAATGCGTTTTTATGAACTCATGAAAGCTCCAGTACCGGATAGTATAACATTATGTTTCAATCTATACTAGGGTTTACCTCTTCCACATACACCCATTGGAGAATCATTTTATGCATGGCAAATAAGTCTGTACAATTCTTGCATTGTTGATTTTGACAACAACAATTTTTTTTATGTTTGGGATGAAACTCAAATAAAGCGAGGATCAGTCGAAATTGGTTCAGCTCTTTATTCATACTTGAGCAGTTTGTGTATTCCAAACAACATTAAAGTGCTTAGGGTTTGTTTTTGTGATGGCTACAGGGCTAAAACAAAAATAAAGACATAATTTACACATAAGTGCAATGGCTATATGCTAAAGCGCCCCAAAATTTGTATTGCATCCAAATTACATTCCAATAAATCTAGATTTTCCAGTAAATCATCTAGTTCTTCCAGCGAATCTTCAAGCTTGTCTAGCATTTCATCTAGAAGCCCCTCCGTTTCTTCGAAAAATACTACTGTCACACCAGTAAGTACCGATAGCCCGTTAGTGTCAAATGATAAAAACCAAATTGAACCACCACCAATCCAAAAATGTGCACAGACAAGTGAAGACTAAGTAGCTGACAACAATACTAGTTTGACTGCAGTACAAGACAAGAAGAATATCAGGAAAGGAAAGAAACTTATAACAAGCCAACAAAGCAAAGAAATTGCGTAATACGGTCAAGCTTATGATTCGCGATCAAAAACAAAAAAATCTGTTGCAGCACATGCTAAGAAACAACCTTGCGGGGATAAATGCAAAATGCAATGTTCTTATAAAATCGAAGGCGACTAGAGAAGATAGATTTTTTCTACATATTGGGAAATATTTAGAACTACAACTAACTGATATTACTTTACAAAGAAACTTTATAAATAGCTGTACAAAACATATTACGCCTGCAATTAGTTTTTCTGGTAAACAGAAACCCCGAGGTTATAATAACGCATTTTATTTAATTTTCAACAATAAACAAATACGGGTGTATAAGAAGTTTGATATGACGACATTGGATGTGAATGACCGTGTTATAAGAACAGTACTTCATAAGAGAGAATTGGGTTTTGTTGAAATTAATAAAAGAGGCAAACATGACCGACACAAAAAAGTTAATGAATCGATTAAGGAATCAGTTACAGAACACCTAAATTCTATATCACGAATAGAAAGTCAATACATCAGAAAAAATTCTAGCTGGGAGTTCATTGACGGTGGTAAATGTATAGCAGATTTACATGCAGATTATAAAAATAATTGTTTGGAACAAGGAGTCTCAGCAGAGAACTATGAAATGTACGCCAAAATTTTCAATTAGGAATTTAACATAAGTTGACGCTTTATCCCTAAACAATACCGTTGTGAGTTGTGTGTCAGCTTTGAAAATGCGGTTGAATCTAGAAATGAGAAGTTGAGCGAAAAATACTAGTCATATTTAGATGAAAAAGAACGGTCTAGAATTGAAAAAGAAAACGATCAGGTTAAAGAGTACATTGACTACAATGTCGCTGTGTATTCTTCAAGCAGTCCTTCAAAGCTCAAAAGGAGATGTTTCGGTTTTGTATTATAAATTTAAGTTAAATAACCTGAATTTCACTATAAGCAAATTTGGATCTGATCACACCGAAAGCTACTTGTGGCATGAAGGTGAAGCTAATCGAGGAGCAGCGGAGACTGGGATCTTGTGTACTTAAATTTATGGACAAAGTTATAGCAACTTACAGCGGCTCATGGATTGAATTCGTATTTTTCTCGGACAATTGGTGTTGACAACAAATAATAAAATTTTTTTTCTATATACACATTTGCTTTGATGAAGCATACTAATATAAAATCAATAACTCACAAATACCTTATAACCGGTCACACCAAAAATGAAGGGCATGCAGCACATTATCACATCAAAACAACTAAACGCTCAAGAAATTCAAATTAAACCAGCATACATGTACAAATACTTAACTTAAATACTTGCAATTGCTGATCCTAACTTTTATTTTCCTAAAAAAGCTTATTTAGTTTTAAATCAAATAAAATTATAAGCAAAAAACGCAACACGAGGTAACTATATCGTATATACAGTTAAAAAAATATTAAAATGGCTATTGCTCAAAACCCGATTTTTAGTGATGTAACAGTTTTTAGAGGATGTGCGATATAATACTTTTAGATTAAAAACAATAAATGTATCAGGATATTAAATTTGTATACTACCAAACAGGAAATATGATAAAAATGTATGTTGCTGTAAAAAGCTCTTGCAGGTTTTATTCTATTACTGAATTTCTGCATAACATGAAAATAGGCCTTTGAAAAATCAATCATATTATGTAGACTGGAATTACATAGGCGTGAGTAGATCCCTACTTTACCCATGAATTTCTATTTTGCAGAAGGATACAAAAAGGAACAATGTACACAGATGATAACGTTGATGATAATAGTAGAGTAGCGCCCTTGTCATTGCTAAACTCAGATGACCATGGCGATTAACCGCTACTACCTCCTTCGAAAAAATTATTTGTAAGTTTTCAATCCAATGGAAGTTTGTAACGTACACACAGTACAGTACAGTATGTTTATTCCTAGTATATAATTTAATTTAGCCTTAAGAGGCCGGTCCTTAAGAAACTTCATTGATTGACACCAAAAAAAAACTCAATTAGTTAATAGATGAGTCTTCACTTTCACCGTGTGATATTTATAAGATTTTAAAAGATCTTGATTTTCGAGGAAAAAAATCCTCAACAATGGTAGAAACACTTAAAACGTCGTTTTCTATTTTAAATCTCTAGGCTATTTCGTTATTATTTTAGAAAATATTAATTAAGGTTAATGTACGAGTAAACCCGTACATTTTTATATGTTAGCGTAATTGGAGCGCGAGCTCATGTTTGACGTCAATATAATGCATTGTACATATTATATTTTCTTTTATAATAAATTCAGTACCATTCGCAAGGCGTTACAGTTAACAGTGTTTTATTTTGCATCCTACAATCTCAGTATTTGAGTGGTACTCCTTAACAGCATTTAATCTTGCATTGCACTACATTACATATTTGCATAGTTACGTACACATTTTGGTCCTTCGACTACTATCTTAGTGTTTAGTGTTTTGGTACAGTGGCGAATTGGTTCGTCTCGCCTCCCACAAGCGGGTTTCACCAGTCGAATTGAGAAGGCGCATACATACTGTGCTGAGGACAAAAACTCACTAAGTGGACCCGACGTTGGGAAATTACACTTCCATCAGTGTTTACTTGCAACTTACATATTTATCATCATGCAAGCCTTACTGCAGAGACAGTTTGAAATTGTAAATGAGGTCAAAAAGCTTAACACCAATCTCAAAAAAGATCCGAAGTCAAGGAAAACTAAGGAATACATAGAGAAGAGAATCAAAGATTTGGATGATCTTTGGCTCGAATTCAAAAGCAACAACGAACAATTATCGCATTAGCAGATAAGACTCACGAATATTTTACAAAGGACAT